AGATAGATAGATAGATAGATAGATAGATAGATAGATAGATAGATAGATAGATAGATAGATAGATAGATAGATACAAAGGTAGGTAGGTAGGTGGGTGGGTAGGTAGGTAGGTAGGTAGATAGAGATAGATAGATAGATAGATAGATAGATAGATAGATAGATAGATAGATAGATAGATAGATAGATAGATAGATAGAGGATATACATAGAAAGATAGGTACATAGGTAGGTAGATAGGTAGGTAGGTAGGTAGGTAGGTAGATGATAGATAGATAAACAGACAGACAGAGAGACTTCCCTCGTGCTGCTTCTTTTAATAAGCCCAATGGTCTCCTGTTTTAGTCATTTGAGGTAGAAGATTTCCGGGGCATGAAATAAAACTCTTGGGGTTAATCTGTAGCAAAGCACCAGTCAAACTGGACAGGGAGCATTCAAGACAAGGTTCTGAAGGTGGGGGAATGCTTTAAAATCAAAGCAAGAACAATTTAGCAGGAGCAGAGAGAGATTTCATACCTTGCCGCCCTCAACAAAGAGTCACTGCATCTTTGAAAGAATTTGAACAGGGAACTGCCGGTTTTATTTTGTCTCAGTAAAAAAACGTAAATGTTAAAAGACCACCATAATTTTATGCATCACAGTAAGCCACGGTTTGCTTTACCCTCGATTGCTAAGTAAACCATAATTTACTGCAGCCCTGTATATTGTACTAAGCCACAAACCGTGGTTAAACAAGCACGCTTGACTTCATATTACAAAGTAAACCAAGCAGATGTTGGTTTGTTAGGATATATGATCCAGGCTATGCACATTAAATACGTCTGTGCATTTAAGATATCAGAAGGGTGTTTTCCCCTTCTAATTGCAAAACAACGAATTGGCACTTGCAGGAGAAATACTAAATTCACTCAAAATCCTTGGACCTCCTTATTGATGCCAACAATAGTTAAGAAAAGCACCCTGGTTTAAAAATACCTGCATTGATGTTGCAGTGATCTGCTATCGAATACCTGATTTTATTAATCATCTGATTTGCTAAAAAAAAAACTATTTTGAAAAAAAAACCAGGCTGGTCTCATAGAAGAAAAGAAAAAGAAAAAAAAACCAAATGTCTTATTGAATGATCTGATCTTCCTTTTCCTCCTCCAGACGAAACTGATTCTGGAAATCGGCCTATTCCGAAACCGCATGTTCCTATATTCGGTGTTAGGATCTATTTTGGGTCAAATGGCTGTTATATACATCCCTCCCTTGCAAAAGATCTTCCAGACAGAGAGTTTACGAGCCTTGGGTAAGTCCCGGGGCTACCCTTTTTCGAAGGAGGATTTCAATCTTTCCAAATAAAAGCTTTTTAAACTCCTGGCGATAAAAGAGATTTGTTGGGACGCCTAATGATACGCTCTGTGAAATCCAGCTTCTAAGCGTCGGGAAGGGAAGAGGGAAGCTCGTTTTCAAGATTGCATGTCTTTTTCTTTTCAACAAATCTAAATGGCAACCTTCGAAAAGGTGAAAATTACGAGGTTCAGGGGACACATCACCCGCCTCTTTATTTTCGTGCCAGCGTCCTTATGGCTCCCGTTAATCGTTAAGAAAGCAACCCTCCAAAATGCGGCTCCAATGGAAGTTGAATGGATTGTCGGTTGCCAACTGATGCCTGCCTTGGTGTTCTGCTGTCCGTATTAGTAACCCATTTGTTCCCTTCTCTCGATAGACCTGTTGTTCCTCACCGCCCTGGCGTCTTCAGTCTTCATCCTCTCGGAACTGGTCAAAGTGTGCGAGAAATATTGCTGCGGGTCAAAGGCGGAGCAGAGACCGCTGGAAATGGTCTGACGAATAGGGACGCGCCTTGTGTCGACGGCGTGAGGGCAAAGACCACGGGGGGTGCAGAGGAACGGTCAAATAGGAGACCGCGTAGCCCTCAGCGGCATAAGGGATTGGGGAAGACCTTCCGAAGAGGCCCCTTCCCTAGTTTCTCAGTCTGTAAAGGTGAGGGCAGAAGACTCGTATTTCCAGACCTGAAAAGTTCTGCACAACGTAACTTCACAACAAAGTGGAATTAAGCTCATCGGGTCGTGAATGATTACGACAACTGGCTAACCTGGCACGGCTGGAACCTTGCCCCCACCCCCAATTGAGTTCAAAGGGGATGTCAGATTCTGCAAAGCCCTCGGGAGTCAATCTCAGAAGGTTCCCCAACTCTTAATCACAAGCTGATCCCATCACCGGCCATCCGCTCCTGCAAAGTTAAAACGATGCCTGGATGCCATCTGACAATTGTGTCCCCCTTCAAAACAGGTCCCCCAAAATGGCCTGCTTTTATTTATTTAAGATGTAATAAAAGACACTTGTTCATAAAGTCTGCCTTGGTTTCTCCTGGGGTTGGGTCAACGGGGTATTGCAATCTTGGTGTTCAATTAGGTTTTAAAAAAAAACAAAAAACAGTGGCTGGATTCACACATTTACAGTCTGCTACTTCACGAAGCTGGAAATTCACAAGCCAACATCTGTCCAGTCTCTTAAAAACTTGGCCTGAACCTGATTCAATTGTTTATAGTGGTATGATTAATTCAGTTATGAAATCCTGATTTCTGGATATGGCACCTCAGCAGTCACACACACGCACCCAAATTATGTTTTTTATGGAGCACTTAAATTTCCCCCAGCAAAATACAAATCGATTTGCACGGAAGACATTTGGGTTTTGAGAACTCCTGTGAGTGAACTGGAGTCTCTCCAAGGAATACTGGAAGTTTCGCACACCAAAATAAATGTGAAAAGAAGAAAAAGAAGGCCCTGAATTTAGAAGAAATGCATGCTCCAATCCCTGGGGAGAGGAGGAGGAAAAAAAACGCCCTGCAGATAAAGACATCCAAAGTTTGCAAAGACACCAATTGTTATTTTACCGAATCTCACCGCGCTTAAAGAGATTGGACAACGGATACCGACGTGTGGAAAATAGAAAGCTCAGGGGGGGCGTTCCAGCAAGATCCCGGTCAGACTTGGGGAGGAAAAAAAAGATTCCGAGGTGAGATCTCAGTTGTCTTCTCCGTCATCATCGGGTGGTTTGCGAAACCCGTCACTCTGCCGGCTTTTCCCCATCATCTCCAGCAAGGCTTGGGCCTCTGGATCGGTATCTAAGATGCTCTTTTGGCCTCTTCCCTAAAGCCAAAGCATAACATAAAAGAAAACATAACAAAACAACCACCACAGCCGAAAGCAGGGCTGCAACCAGCTCTGACCGAATTTCTTAGTTCCTGAAACCTGAGCTAAAAAAAAAAAAAGATTTGGGTGGATTCCTTCCCCTTCCTTAGCGCTTGGCAAACAGGGGAAGGTTCTGCTTTGACCTGATCAGCGAAACAGGTTAGATCAGGTTAGATCAGATGACAGGCACTGCCAGAGAAAGCAAATTCATGGTATTGGACCTGGGTACTTGAGAGACCGCCTGCTGCCAATTACCTCCACTAGACCGATCAGATCCCACANAACAGCCTAAAAACATCCTGAAAAACGCCTAAAAACATCCTGAAAAACGCCTAAAAACATCCTGAAAAACGCCTAAAAACATCCTGGAAAATGTCCAAAAAATGTCCCTGAAAATTGCTCCCAAATAGCCTGGAAAATGGATGTGCGCACCGGAAACCAGAAGAGCAGCTAGATTAACCACCACAGGTATACAGTCTCCTGCTTCAGCAGAAAGTTGGACTAGAAGACCTCCAAGGTCCTTTCCAACTCTGTTGTTCTATATTCTATTATCATCAAATAACCACCTAATATGAATCACATTTATTCATATTAGGAATAATTGCAAACAATAACAAACATCTTGGAAAATATGTTTCATCGTCAAAACTAGAACAGAATGTTCATGGCAAAGGAATTCCTGTTTGATGATGAAAGCTAAACCCATCTAAAAAACCCATATATACATAGCACTGCATATGCATGTCATTCCATTTGTTCCTAGATATCTGTGAGTGATTGCTTTATAAAAACCTATCCATGAGAAGCTATATCTTCTTGATTGATGACATACACCATATCCATGGAGAAAACCAGACACTTCCATTTTCATTTCCACTGACAGTACAGAAACATGCATTTCAGCCAAATATTCAAGTTTAAAAATTATTATTATACAGAATATAGCTCACAAGTACAAAAATAAGACTGATTGTGCAATCCTATGCTGGTTTACTCAGAAGTGAATGAAATTAAATTCAGTGACTCTTACTCCAACATAATGCTGTGCAGACTTAAAGCCTAAAGTCCTGCAGGTAAAAATTCTGCCTGTTCAGAACTAATCACCAAAAATTGCTTTAGGATCTGTCTTACAAGATCAAATCATATCGTTGAAAAAATGGCATTTTTCAACATTGTTTTCATTTTCAACGTTGAAACAAATGCAGATATGTAGGAATCATGATCAGTCCACGATGAGCCATGTGCTGCTCATCTACCCTATATTTGTATGTGTATGTGTCTCTTTGTGTGCATGAAGCAGCATTCAACAATTTGCATTAATATCAGAAAAAAGAGCAAGATGTTTAATTGTCTCTAATTAAAATGGCCAATCTCAGTCTTCCATCTCAAAGAAAATTCTCTAGCATTTCTCCCCCTTATATAACTGTTATTCAGCAATCCTATACACTTTGTTTTTGTCACAGTCCTTAAAACACCCTTCTTCAGCTACAAATTATACATGGCTGTTCTGANCCACCACCACCAGTCAATGGTGTCCATCTTTACCAATCTGAAAATCTGGTCACCTTAGGCAAAGGATAAAATGAAGCCAAAGGATTTCAATCTTCTCTTGTTAGTAATTAAACAAGCTTTATATAAAATGTGAATACGTTGAGCATTTACCCCTAAAGCACTTAGCCAAAAACCAAAAATCACTCCAGAAATAAAACCTCAGAGATACCAAGCAAGTTCTGGAAAACTATTTCTCAAGTACCAGCTGTCCAGGCTAAATCTGAGCATTCTATATTTACTCAGAATACCACTGAGTTTTGTATGATTTCATCCCAGGTAAGTATTTATTTGCAGCCTCAGAAATGTTGCATATTACCTCTCCATTCCTGATCTCTCTGCATTGAAGTGAAGGTATGAATACAATCTGTGCTAAAGCAGATTGTAAGATTTCTTAAGATCTGCAGCTGACTATACAGAGATCAGTCACAACACGCTTGAAGGAGCAATCTCATTGCCACACAATAACACATTCAGTGAAAAGAAAAGAACTTCAATAAATATGTAAAATTAACCCCTTTATCTCACATTTGGATTAAAGCTAGGTCCAAGGTCTGTGTGAATCAGGCCAGCACAGAAGATCAACATAATCTGTTCTACCTCAGAAGATCAACAAAATCTGTTCTACCTCAGCAAAATCTGTTCTACTTCAGCAAGTGTTAGGTAGGGACTATCTTATAATCAATGTTCACTATAGCAGGTAAACAGTCTCAATGGACAGGTTCCCCTGCCTGAAAAGGCAATAATGAAAACAAATGGTTTAAATCAGGATAATTTAATCACATTTTCATGTAGGTGAAAATAATTGATAATACCTGTTCTGTGTCTAAACATGCTGTGATCTCATTATTTTGGGAAGACAGGTATATACACCAGGATAAATGTATAGTTGCATCTGAGAAGGGGGAGAACTTTGGATGGTAGTGTTTAAAAAGCTGATGGAGGGGCAAAGGGATTCATTACTTAATATAGATGAATTTAAGTAAATATTTTTGTGGCTTATCCTGATCATACTCGGGAATATACAGCATCTAACTGAGTTCCTTGGATCATTAGAGTTCTAAAATCAACATAGCATGCCGTGTTCTGTGCAAGTGAAAATTATTTCTTAATTATAGACAACTAATCCAAATACTGATCATTTGTTCCTGTAGATGTGCTCTGTGCGCATATGATTTATTGTGCTTTTTTCATGCAAGCCACTGATTAAAAATGAAAAATTAACCAACTATTGGATAGCATGACAATAGTATAGAATCAAAACAGTTTTACTGCTATTAGCCTTTACTAATTATAGATTATGCTATGCTACACTTGTGGCATAACTCATAAATTAATAGAGTTCACTGAACTTTATGTGATACGCAGATGCATAATTATTTGACTTTAATCTTACCCACCATGAACTATTCTGCTAGGGCATATATTAAAAATCCAAATATATCTGTAGTAAAATGCTATTAATTAAAGCAATAAAGAATTCAATTCAATTTTATTTTTTTTAAATCATTAGTTCTTAGTACTATATTGTAAATCTGACTTGAAATTGGTAATTTCTCAAAGCAAGTTGATTTTTAAAATGTAAATGTGATTTAGAATTTTATTGCTGGAACAGAGCAAGAAATATATAAGCTATTTCAGAGTTATGATTTTAGCATACAAGGCCAAATTACCTTCTGGAATTTTAACTACTCTGAATTCCAAATGTATTGAATTCTCCATTCGTCTGGGAAGCTGAATTGACAGCCTTGGGTAAACCATTATCTGTCAGACTAATTCACCTCATAGAAATGCAATACTAAAACATTAAAAAAAATCCACCTAAACCCCTTCTAAAGTCCTTTGAAGAAAGGGATGAATACCATAGGCAGTATGATGTTGAGAGGGAACAGTGTAAGTTATAGCTTTATTAGAGCAGATTTACTTTTTAAAAACTCTTTAGAATGAGGTCTACCCAAGAGTTTGCTTTTTTTATTGCTTCAATAGAAGATAGTCAGAATCCCGTGTTAAATCTAGGCTATATCTATTTCAAATTCATGTGTGTTAGTTGTTGGAAGATATGAAACATTGTTTTTCACCATTGAAGATTTGTGTTTCATAAAATACGTTAGTCTGGTCAGTCATTTAATTGCTTCTGAATTTTTGTGATCCAATGGACATCCTTTTGCCAGAATTCTCTGCCAATAACTTCTTTGGGAACTTATAAGATCATGCATGTGTCATCAGAGATAATATCTAACCACATTGCCTTCAACTGGCCTCTGATTTTTTTTCCACGTATTGGGGTTTTCTCAGTATATGTCTAAAAGTATAAAGTTTTCACTTCATGAAGTGAAAGACTATTCCAGTGAGCAGTAGTTACTTCATCTGTGTATTGAATTATGTTTTCTTGCAATCCAAGACATTTATTTATTACTTTTTATTTATTAAGAAAATACATCTGGTCACCCAATTCATTCACAGTGACTGGGGCTTACAACCCAAGTAAATTAAAACCCCAAATACAAACACACACCCCTGAACAAACCAGTTGATGAACTCTGAATGATCCAGAGGTCTCCAAACCTATTGGCAAAACTATGTCTTCAGGGCCTTTCAAAAGAATATTAAGGTGGTAGCCCATCTTATCTTCATGGGCTCCCACAGGGAGAGAGCCACCATGAAGAGGGTCTTCTTGCTCCTACTAGATGGACCTCCTTAATAGAGGGGACCTGTAATATATCCTACTGGTAACTACCAGCTCTGGTGGGTCAAGTAGATGCAACTGGGAAAAGATAGTTCTTCAAATCATCTTTCCTATTTGCTTTGTTTTAGCATTCGTATTACTTTTCCATTTTCTTCTTTTCTTCAATTCAAAATTTGTAAAGTTTTATTCTGTTGAAAACTTCTATAATAAAAATCGAAAAATCTAACTCTCCCTTTTTTTTGCTTATTGTGTCCTTTTAGAAATATGGACAAGTTAGTCAAAATTAGTCAGTGGAGCACACTAAAACTGAAACACCTTAATGAGGTCACAAATGAAAAATCATTCCTCATAAAGCACAAATTAGAAGAAAAGATAATGGTGTGATTCAGGTCCAAGGTTTAGTACAATTAATTCTATTAAATGATTTACTCATTTTGAAAAAGTCAATAAAACTTAAATTGGAAAAGCTCTGACCTTTTGTGGCTGTAATTTTAAAGTTTCATCTTGTTCAAAGTAGGGAATACAGTGAATGTAGAACTCAATTTAGCTAAAAAAATATATGGTTTTCCCCCCTTCAAATTATCATCCAAATATAAAATTTTGTCTCATGATACAACAATAGTGCATTAACATTCAACATTTCTTGAAAGTCGTGTCTAATTGACAATTTAGAGAGTCAACTAAAAATTAATAATTACAAATTGTTGTACTTTTGCTTAACAATGTCATTGGTTC